ATACATCACTCTTTCACGGGTGATGGCGAGGTTATCTTTACATGCTCGTACGGTATCTCTACATTAATCGCAACGTAAATCACTCTGTTAGCTAATCAATAAACTCAGTGTCTAGTAAATCACTGATTGCCATTGGATCTGGGGAGTTTGTACTCCAAATTATATAGTCCTCGTTTTAAGGATCCGCGGGGACGGAATGATCTTTGGGGAATAAGAGCAATATTTTCAAATCGTATACCGCAAAGTCAACTTTTCTATAGCTAGTTGAAGTCTGTACCTGACCAGGGATTCATGTGGCCAAAGCTAACACTATGCCCACGTTATCATACGGACGGTTATGTAGTAAAGCACACCATGTTCACTAAAGATAAGAATTTCGTCGCTTTCAAGTCACATTCATTGAACCTGGTAGGTTGGAAAAAGACCCCTAATAGTCCTGTCGCATTGCGCCCATCACGGACGCATGATAGCTTTCAGAGTTTTGTGCTAGCTTATCCCTTATATTCCAATGGCTCTAAAGAGACCCAACAAGCCAGGGTTGTGGGTAAACCAGGTGTCTCTCAAGCTTTGGCACTTTTTCTCATCACGCTAGGTTTTTCTTAGCAGCTATTGAGGTAGATTATAGCTCGATTAACTAACTTCTTTGACAGGTTCACGGTGATGATGACCATCGTGTTCGTCCAGAGGTTCACCACAGGCGAGATAGTTCACACGATTAACAACCAAATTACGTTTATTCTGTTTCAGGAACCCCATACACAAGTAATTCAGGCTTTGCCAGATGAACACAGCTAGTATCGGAGCTTAACCCAGACAGAACGCTCACAGGGATGATATCCGAAACCTCACTAACCGTATTGCCAGCGAGCGTAGACACTGCCAGACCAAGCACACTGACTACATATCCAGCACTAAGACTTTGTTAAACGGTATTCCCACTAGCCTCGGCCATACTTCTAAGGTTAAACAACAAGCGAGCTGATTGTCCGACCACTGCCCTATAAAATGCCTCTCTATATATTAAGGCAAAGCAGCGATACCCAGCGTGCAGAGAAGAGCAGAAAGCAAAACGAGCTTCATATTGCCGATGGATTTTTTAGGAATATCTTCTCGAATATCGAAGCAGAATTTGAGAAGTAGATACAAGTGATGTAGGGAACCGAGCCCTGTTTATTATACACGCCGTTCAAGAGATTCACAATGTACCGCAAAATCACAATTATTCTCAACTGGGACCTTACTGTTTCAGAAATGCTTCTAGGTCATACAATCAAAAGTCTGTGTAGGGTTAGCCTAGGACGTGAAAGGTAGCTTCTGTGGCTAACATTTGCTGGCCGGTGTAGCTCTAGTCATAGAGCATGAATTTGCATGCCTACATTTCTATAGTTCCAATCAATGTTTGTCCCCTGCATGGACGTAATCTAGGGCAAATGGAATAACGGTAGGAGGGTATTACATGCACAAATTGACTGACATTTTAGTGTATAAACAGGACTTAGGACATTGGTTAATTAAAACCTGAACCAAGGGCGACGACAGCAGCTACTTCCCTTCCATTTCACGGCATCCTTCTCGTATTACTCAATTGCCTTATTTAAGTAGACAAAACAGAATGCTTGCTACGTTTGCCAAAGGTAGGTTTCTATGTAGAATATGAAAGATTTCCATCGGACACCAGCCTGCCAGTAAAATATTTAGTAAAAATGTAATGAGCTTGGGGTACGGAGTAGAATTGGGCAGATTACTCAGGACAGAACCACCAAACTCACCGTATATGAGCCATGGAAAGGCCCTCCCAAAAGATAATCCCAGACATAAGACATTCAAGAATTGCGTTGCAAAGGTAGAATCTGTAATAAAACATATGATTCAAGATCCGTTTTCCCGTACGTTCTTAATTCCCATAAACCTGAGTAACGTACCTTAAATCCCTATCCTCTAGCGACCAAATAAGTAGAAAAACTGGCAAACTATATTTACTGACTACATAAACACACGATCATCTTTGTTAGGCTGATCCAATCCAGTGAAATAATGTGGGATGACTGGCATGGGGATGGGAGCAGGTTACTTCTTACAAGTTATTCTCTCGCTCATTCTATGCATATATAACTTAATGTATCCGCCTTGTTCATCGCGGAAAGGTTGCTCCGGGAAAGTATAGTAAGCGGTATTTCACTGCAGATGAAGCACAATAAAGGCGGCCGAATGGCTGGGTTTTAGCAACAGACCGTTCACATAGCACAATGTAATTTGCTGCAAGAAATGCATCAGCCGTGCACCATTGGCTGGAAAAAACGTTGACCAACATCAAAATTCTTGACAGAATCGCAGCAACAAGAAAGGGAACATAGACACCAAGAGCAGGGACTTCCGAATACCCCAGGAGTACAATGGGACAAAGTAGTCTGGCATAGGGCATACCATTGAATTATCCCTGGAGAAACGGAACTCATGTCTCTGTGTTGTCGAGGTCCATCAACTCCATCATGGTAGAATAGGAACGTGGGATTGGAATCTGTGCATCTAATGACCCTTCCGCCCTTTCACTTTGAGGATTGCCTCGCTACTAGCGATTTTGTCTTATTCCCGGGTTTATAACCTGGCCGTTACACCTGCCCGAACAGGGACCCCGTCATAAAATCCACACGCATTGCATATGTTATAATTTCCGTCAGACCAATTCGGGGAACGACGGTGGATAGAACATAAACGGGACGCCCGAATGAACCCGAGTTGGGAGGTTCGCCCCTTGTCACCACGGCACTAGCAATACCCAGCTTGGTATTTTCTTAGAGCCCATACGAACAGAATACAATGAAACAGAATACAATGAAACAGAATACAACGAAACAGAATACAATGGAACAGAATACAATGAACAGAATACAACGGCAGATCGCTCTACCAGGGCATCCCGAACGCACAAGGAAAAGAATTTCTCATGACCATCGAAGTACAGCAAACAGGTCTACATTCTAGATGTTCTTATCTGCAAACGCGGCTCATAGAGCTTCACAGAGGGGGATACTCTCCACTTTTTTTTAGATGGTCTCTCGACTGGCGAAGACATAACAGAAGACATTAGGTATAACAGACCATCATCCACAAGTGCAATTAGCTGGAAATTCCGACCTAGCACTTCCTAGGTTCAGCTACCGTACGTACACACGACATTCTACCCGATTTGCCCTTCTCATCCTTTGCCCTCAAGAGTGATTGCCGTTTCGCCGATCTGCTTCACTGCAGAGAGCCTTTGTTTCTACTCCAGTTTCACTCTGGTCTTTGACACTTTAGGAAGAACCGTTCCCTGCTGGATCAAGAGTTAAGAAAACAAGTACAGGTCTTCTTTGGTAAAGGGGGAGCAGAAAATAGCGTGTATGGAAGGCTGGACGAACTGCATGCTCCAAATATTCCACACCCATCTTGCTCAGATACTTTGCAGACGAAGCCGAGGGGAGCCTTCGCCAATCCCGCTGCTACAGTTGCTATATTTAGAGAGAGTGAGCCTCCACCAAGGTCACAATTAAGCCCGACACAGTCTACTGGTACTGATAACAGGACGCTTTCATCCGAATAGTAAATCATTCTGGGGTCGAACCACAAAGAGGGAAAAATTTTATTCCTTTCGGAGCATAACGACAACAAATCCACTTGCAATTAGTTATGGTTTCGAGAAAGCGAAAATCTGGTTTATTGCCCGGGTCCTGTACTAATCATCCAATTTTCTAGGGATAGGCTTGAAAGGGTTCTAGCCGGCATGTTATCCGGAAGGGGTATTGTGAAGTATGGCCGCCCACTGATCGACAAGCGCCCGTCGTGTAAGGGAACTAATTTCTATTGGCTGGCGTGTAGTCCATCAAATGACAACCATGTGGCGTCAGCAGCGGTAATTGGACACTCTGTGCATTTCCCAAGAAACATGCTCTTAGGTTTTGTCAGCACGAGTATGAGCACTAGGAGCTTGGTATGGCATTTGGAAAATATTCAATGTCATAATTCCAGCACATAGCTTCCCGGACGATGCCAAATAACGGTAAAAGCTTGGACTTAGCTGGTCAGTAAGGTTTCTATTCAGCACGAACTGTTGTACTATGCTTTGGCCTCTACTGTCACACTGTATAGCTGCTAGGGTGGACGGCCATTAGCTCCACCATTAGAATTTTCAGTCAAGCATACTCAATATACGTATGTATTAATCACGATCCACCTACCCAATTCATACCCAGTTCATATCCAGTATGGATAATCTATTGTAGCTTCAATATGGTCTTGAAAGTTTACGTACCAACTATAGACGCATGTTATACAGAAAACGGCCCTATCAGACATCTCACTAGATGTTAAGAAGAAGGAAAATCCAAACATAAACCCGAAAGCATTCTCGATAATTCTCACAATCTATAAGCTTTAAGCTATAAGAGATAGAGGGATACTGTTATATCCTTCTTCTTCACCTCTCTTATCGAGATCATTGCAGCATCCTTCTACTAAGGTCTATCAGATGACTAGAATGAAGGATCAAAACCTTGAGACGAGTATTCTTAGTATCTTATCTCTTATTTTGGTTAGTGGATGTGGACAAGGCAGCTCCATGTGAAGAAGCTAGCATCTTACTCGAATAGAGTACCGAGCTGGATTTAAATACCGAGCTAAATGTAAATTGAGAGTTTGTACAGATTCGGAATGTAGCTAGGGTGTCATCATTATTAACATATTTGTCCCGCATCCCTAATGCTCGAACCCCTGACAGTTGTAAATGCCTATGAAAGTATTCTAGATACGACCCTATGAAGAATTTGGAAGAATGGAACCTAGGTCATGTTGACACTTGAGATAGAAGTGCGTCATTAGAAACGACCTGATAGGGCTATATAAGGGCAGACATCCCCGAGCGAGGCGATATGAATTCAATCATCTCACGCGTATCTACTGTCGTACAGCCCACTGCAAAATTGCGCCCCATTTCTTCCCATTGTTGCAAAATCCAACCTTTCGCAATGAAGGCCTCGATTATCTCCGTTATTTCATTCGCCATTGCCGTTGCGGCATTGCCGCCAATGGAGCACTCGGACAAGCCGGGCAAGCATTCAATCATCAAATCCCGAGAGCAATGCGACGGGGGAAAGGTTTCTTGCTGCTCTCCCATGAAGGAGGACAACGAGAACATACTCCTCTCATTGCTGGATGGACTTAATGTCTTGGGTGTCAAAGATTCTTACTGCTCACCAATCAGCGTGATTGGCCCTCTCAACTTGGCTATCCTAGGTAAGTAAATACCTAGTATATGAATGAACAGCACTAACTTCCATGGAAGGCACCGTCAACGAGTCGAAGGATAACTTCGACTGCAGACACACTGTTGCTTGCTGCAATGGTGACGATGTAAGTTCCGTGTATACTTATCCACCCAGATGGATAGGTGGTTAACCAGTGTTTCGCACAGTGCCGTCCCCTGAGCGAGGAGTAACGGATCTGTCACACCTCGTGGGGAAGCGTAACCACTGGCGCCTCTGCCGGTCCCCTACACTTCTTGTCATCACCAGGACTAAGAAGCCGTCTTATTACCTTGGGTCATTTGCCTTTCCTCGTGTTTTGCCGGTTGCTATTTGGATACATGAGTGGAAGACAAATTCTATCCTTCTACAGGCCCGCGCTGTCGCCCAATGTTCAAGTGTCTTGCTACTTTGTGTTTCTTATTTGATTGGTATTTATCAATCGTCCACTCGTTTTGCCTAGCTGTCTTACAATGGAACACTCCTAATGTGCTATTCAACCGACCCCCTGTTCATATTCATAGCCTGCTTTGCGGGCAAGGATGAGGCCGTACTCATATATCTGACTGAAGGAACGCCAGAAGTGTTGTCTTATGCGTAGACTAAACCCTGAAATTTACGTACTGAAGCTGAGTAGCACTAACCCAAATATCCTGCAAATAGGCAGGATCTGAAAAACGTGCAAACGGACCGGGAGGATGGTGAAGACCGAAGGCGAATTGCATCTTGTTCAGGTACATCAAATCGTCCGGGCCGGCAGAACTGAAGTTTCTGCGATTGCTAAGCTACCGCTTCCAAAGTAATAAATCTACTAGCTAAAATCCTCTAGATAGACAAACAATTGCATACTTGGATCAAGAGCTTGTTTATAGGCATATAAGATACTCTTAAGCAGAGAGCAAGCAACAATCTCTTCGTGCGCTTTATAAAAGTCAGCAGGTACAGAAGGTACGAATATGCGTTTAGTTTAAAGCAAGCCATGCCCAGATACTTCAAAACAGGAGCTCAAATTCTACCCAGTAGTGTATGGCAATTCGAGCAGAAACAGGCCAAAGAATCTCTTAGGATGCCAAGGAATTTTTGATATGCCGCCTTGAGCTAGAGCTATTGAAGAACATTATATCCACAAAAAGAAGCAAGAGAACGACGGATCAATCAAAATCTTTGCTCTATAGACAACTAGAGTAGAGAGTATTGCAAAAAAAAATCTAATGCCGTAACGCGCTTACCTTAATGTGTCTGCAAAGCGTCATTATTATCTTTGCAGCTATGGTGGAACTGCCTGCGCAGATACTGTTGAAATATTTGTGTGCGACGGTGGAGGCAGCAAAGAAGCTGTTGGGCTGAAGCTCATTCAAAGAAAGTTATTTCGAGCTAATTGAGACGAGGGCAGTATCTGTAATTGAATATACGTGGCAAGTATCGAATCTAACGATGGAGCGCTGAGGTAAAGACCTGTGGTAGCGGGTTGGGCACCTTGTAGGTAACAGGGCTCATGCAATTTTCATCGGAAGTATTCGAGTTTTTTGATCAAAAAGAACTACTCCACAGTTGCCGTGCAAGACACCAATCGTAATACTTCTTACAAAGTTCTAGTTCTCCTAACTTTTTGTAGTATAACGGATTGATTTTCTACTCAGCTTCAGTACGTAAATTTCAGGGTTTAGTCTACGCATAAGACAACACTTCTGGCGTTCCTTCAGCCAGATATATGAGTACGGCCTCATCCCTGCCCGCAAAGCAGGCTATGAATATGAACAGGGGGTCGGTTGAATAGCACATTAGGAGTGTTCCATTGTAAGACAGCTAGGCAAAACGAGTGGACGATTGATAAATACCAATCAAATAAGAAACACAAAGTAGCAAGACACTTGAACATTGGGCGACAGCGCGGGCCTGTAGAAGGATAGAATTTGTCTTCCACTCATGTATCCAAATAGCAACCGGCAAAACACGAGGAAAGGCAAATGACCCAAGGTAATAAGACGGCTTCTTAGTCCTGGTGATGACAAGAAGTGTAGGGGACCGGCAGAGGCGCCAATGGTTACGCTTCCCCACGAGGTGTGACAGATCCGTTACTCCTCGCTCAGGGGACGGCACTGTGCGAAACACTGGTTAACCACCTATCCATCTGGGTGGATGAGTATACGCAGAACTTACATCGTCACCATTGCAGCAAGCAACAGTGTGCTGGCAATTAAACTTGTCTTTGGTTTCATCGACGGAGCCTTGCACGGGAAGTTAGCGGTTTTTACTTATCCTGCGGGGAACTTACTTACCCAGAAGGGCTAGGTTGAGAGGCCCAATCACACTAATCGGCGAACAGTAAGAATCTTTGATGCCTAGGACATTAAGCCCATCCAGCAACGAGAGGAGAGTGCTGTCGTTATCCACGATCTTAGGAGAGCAGCAAGAAACCTTTCCCCCACCGCATTGCTCTTGGGATTTGATGATCGAAAGATTGCCCGGCTTGTCCGAGTGCTCCTTTGGCCGCAATGCCGCAACGGCAAGGGCGAATGAAATAACGGAGATGATCGAGGCCTTCATTGCGAAAGGTTGGATTTTGCAACAATGGGAAGAAATAGGGCGCAATTTTGCAGTGGGCTGTACGACAGTAGATACGCGTGAGATGATTGAATTCATATCGCCTCGCTCGGGGATGTCTGCCCTTATATAGCCCTATCAGGTCGTTTCTAATGACGCACTTCTATCTCAAGTGTCAACATGACCTAGGTTCCATTCTTCCAAATTCTTCATAGGGTCGTATCTAGAATACTTTCATCGGCATTTTACACCTGTCAGGGGCTCTAACTTCAGGAAGGTAGGGGAGAGAAAGAGATCGATAATGATAACACCCTGATTGCATTCCGAACTCGTCCAATCATTCAATGACTTTCAGTCTAGAGATTAAATCTAGCTAGGTGCGGTATTCTGTCTATACAGGTGAGGAGCTAGCCACTCACATCCACCTACCTAAATAGGATAGTAAGCATACCAATAATACTGGTCTACGTGTTTGATGCCTTTTCCTCATAATGGAATCAAGCTCGGCGACAGAAAGCTAACCCTCGACGAACACTAAGGATGTAACAATATCCCTAGATTCCATATAGCTCTATCATTCAGAAATCCGATTATTTTAGGCATTATATTCCACTATTCCTAATGTCGAGTGTATCTTCGCGCAGCAACTCTGCAGCGAAGGAGGATAATCAGATATAGATAAGCGTTGAGAGTACGGACACAATTGCATATTGGTCATTGCACGCATGGATCCTGCTACTACATAATACCGAGGAATGACATTTACGTGAAAATTCTTCTTGGTTGCCTCACAGAGCGGTCAGGTAGGGTTCAAAAAGTAGCTGCTCAACGCGGGACAGGAACTCACATTCTGTCCCGTAAAGCGTCAATTCTAATGCAGTAAAGTATACAACGTGTATACTTGCTCGACTAAAGTTGACGGGTGCCGCAGCCGGGCATGGTTTGATAAGGACAAAGACATTCGAGAAATTAGTAAATTGGACATTACACTTCCCAGGTACGCTATCCACAAGGGAGAAAGATTTTCGGCCTAAGCATGACAGTGGTAGGTTAATTTAAGATCCCTAGCAGAGCGCTTCCATTCGATAACATATAGTCCGGCCAATAGGCTACGCTTCCGATAAGAGGTTGCTGATGTCAGCAAAAGAGACCTGCGGCTGGAACCCGCCCCTTCGGGCGTGCCCATAAAATTGTGGCCCGGTGTGATCTCCCGGAGCTTGCACAGTGACATCGAACCGTGGGCCCCTCAGCTTCATGCGTCCAGCCTAATAGATTTCTGCGCTAAAGCCTCGGTAGTAGGCCCGAGAAAGAGAGTCGAACAGTGTACTGGTCAAGCCGATTTCGAGAACGACCGTATACACAAAGTCTTCACAAGAGAATACCAAGCCATGCAACTTTATCGGATCGGGTGGGATAGTGAGGTGGTGAGGTGCGAGTTTATCCAAAATGGTGACAACCAAAGCATTTCAACGTTTAGTTTTCGATACGTAAAGTTCAACGGGTGAGCTCCACTAATATTCTATCAACAATGTGACAGCTACGGAGTACTTGGAAATAGGCCAACCACGGCAACGGAATCAAAAGGGGAGAAATTGAGGGTATGATTGATCGATTGAAGAACATAAAATGAGGGTGCTCATGGGGGTTGAAATACCCATGAACTTACAGTGTGACGGAGGTCCACGGATGTTGAATATCCTGGTGCCTGATGACAACATAAACAGCTGGGATTCGCCATATAGAAGTGTTGCATCATCTAGAAAACAATTGATGTGATGTTCATCCTTGTTTTGGTACGAGTAGCAACCCATTGGGGTTGACATTATATTGTCGATTCTGCACTGAAGATACGGCTCGAAGAGGAGCAGGGTCAGCTTCGGCGGTCAGTTGCATGGCTGAACGCTGAATGCGATATATTACTCCAGTGCTGCAATGATCAGGCCCTGGAGCTGTTCGGCCGCCGGAAAGCTGTGGCTGCCCTCAATGATGGGACCGTCGACGCTTTGAAGGCAAACGAGAAACGCTCGTAAAGAATGATCGAGTTGAACTAGTCTTGCAAACACGGCAGTGGGATACCAGTCGAGTTGGGTGTCTCATTCCTGGTCCAACATGTACAAAGTATGTTGGATTCCTTTGTTTCGTACTTCTCTTTGTCTTGGTGTTCTCAGCATCACTGTCCCTGGTTTTGTGCGCAAGTTCTTAACTACCATGTCCATGCCTTCAGAAAAAATACAGCTCTACCCTCATCCTCCGCCCCTTTAATTACACTCGAATTCCAGCATTAAGATCGCTGGAACGGCATGAGGATAGTATTGCTTCGGCTTGAGAGGGGGAATTGCTGGAGTTTGGTGTCATTGTGAGAACTATGGTTCTTTCTACCCTGCAGTACCTGACCTCACTCGGCTCGATCCTCGGGACGCTATGCGGATGAATACCAGTCTCTTTTTATCTTCTTGACAATAATAATGACGGCTCATGCTCTACGCCTATCGACTGAGCACAAATCGAGGCCTTGCATGGAGGAAAAGCAAGAATGCTCAAAAGCCCTTGAAACATGGCCATCTCATTAATTTTCACAAGCACCAATCAATCAATCAATCACTCTATTGACTTGTTGCAGCCTAACTAGTGGCGTAATGGCTATGCAGGCGCTGCCTCCGACGGAAGCAAGAGTGATCCGAACGCTAGACCCGCGCATGAAACAGTAAATACATAGGAAAACGGCGTATAGCCATAGAGATCAGCCCAAAAACCAGCCCAAAAACAGTATCAAAACGCCCTCAGAGCCCTCAGTCCCACGATATATTTCTCAGTTCGCCCTCACATTGGCCTGCTGTTTCCCCTGTATCTTTATCCCCGGTATCCCTCCTGCTTCGTTCTCAATTGGTGGCGTTCGTTGTTGATGTTGGATGTATTCAGTACGTAAATTTCAGGGTTTAGTCTACGCATAAGACAACACTTCTGGCGTTCCTTCAGTCAGATATATGAGTACGGCCTCATCCTTGCCCGCAAAGCAGGCTATGAATATGAACAGGGGGTCGGTTGAATAGCACATTAGGAGTGTTCCATTGTAAGACAGCTAGGCAAAACGAGTGGACGATTGATAAATACCAATCAAATAAGAAACACAAAGTAGCAAGACACTTGAACATTGGGCGACAGCGCGGGCCTGTAGAAGGATAGAATTTGTCTTCCACTCATGTATCCAAATAGCAACCGGCAAAACACGAGGAAAGGCAAATGACCCAAGGTAATAAGACGGCTTCTTAGTCCTGGTGATGACAAGAAGTGTAGGGGACCGGCAGAGGCGCCAGTGGTTACGCTTCCCCACGAGGTGTGACAGATCCGTTACTCCTCGCTCAGGGGACGGCACTGTGCGAAACACTGGTTAACCACCTATCCATCTGGGTGGATAAGTATACACGGAACTTACATCGTCACCATTGCAGCAAGCAACAGTGTGTCTGCAGTCGAAGTTATCCTTCGACTCGTTGACGGTGCCTTCCATGGAAGTTAGTGCTGTTCATTCATATACTAGGTATTTACTTACCTAGGATAGCCAAGTTGAGAGGGCCAATCACGCTGATTGGTGAGCAGTAAGAATCTTTGACACCCAAGACATTAAGTCCATCCAGCAATGAGAGGAGTATGTTCTCGTTGTCCTCCTTCATGGGAGAGCAGCAAGAAACCTTTCCCCCGTCGCATTGCTCTCGGGATTTGATGATTGAATGCTTGCCCGGCTTGTCCGAGTGCTCCATTGGCGGCAATGCCGCAACGGCAATGGCGAATGAAATAACGGAGATAATCGAGGCCTTCATTGCGAAAGGTTGGATTTTGCAACAATGGGAAGAAATGGGGCGCAATTTTGCAGTGGGCTGTACGACAGTAGATACGCGTGAGATGATTGAATTCATATCGCCTCGCTCGGGGATGTCTGCCCTTATATAGCCCTATCAGGTCGTTTCTAATGACGCACTTCTATCTCAAGTGTCAACATGACCTAGGTTCCATTCTTCCAAATTCTTCATAGGGTCGTATCTAGAATACTTTCATAGGCATTTACAACTGTCAGGGGTTCGAGCATTAGGGATGCGGGACAAATATGTTAATAATGATGACACCCTAGCTACATTCCGAATCTGTACAAACTCTCAATTTACATTTAGCTCGGTATTTAAATCCAGCTCGGTACTCTATTCGAGTAAGATGCTAGCTTCTTCACATGGAGCTGCCTTGTCCACATCCACTAACCAAAATAAGAGATAAGATACTAAGAATACTCGTCTCAAGGTTTTGATCCTTCATTCTAGTCATCTGATAGACCTTAGTAGAAGGATGCTGCAATGATCTCGATAAGAGAGGTGAAGAAGAAGGATATAACAGTATCCCTCTATCTCTTATAGCTTAAAGCTTATAGATTGTGAGAATTATCGAGAATGCTTTCGGGTTTATGTTTGGATTTTCCTTCTTCTTAACATCTAGTGAGATGTCTGATAGGGCCGTTTTCTGTATAACATGCGTCTATAGTTGGTACGTAAACTTTCAAGACCATATTGAAGCTACAATAGATTATCCATACTGGATATGAACTGGGTATGAATTGGGTAGGTGGATCGTGATTAATACATACGTATATTGAGTATGCTTGACTGAAAATTCTAATGGTGGAGCTAATGGCCGTCCACCCTAGCAGCTATACAGTGTGACAGTAGAGGCCAAAGCATAGTACAACAGTTCGTGCTGAATAGAAACCTTACTGACCAGCTAAGTCCAAGCTTTTACCGTTATTTGGCATCGTCCGGGAAGCTATGTGCTGGAATTATGACATTGAATATTTTCCAAATGCCATACCAAGCTCCTAGTGCTCATACTCGTGCTGACAAAACCTAAGAGCATGTTTCTTGGGAAATGCACAGAGTGTCCAATTACCGCTGCTGACGCCACATGGTTGTCATTTGATGGACTACACGCCAGCCAATAGAAATTAGTTCCCTTACACGACG